CCAGTCGTTGGTGGTGTATGGCTGTCCCGAAGCTCATGATGTCAATTCAATTCACCCGCAATAATCGCAGCAAGGCATGAGCGACGAATGATACTAATAAATGCGGATTCTTGAACAGTTGCTGTGGGAGGGTTGTAGAGATTCACCACGCACATGCTGGAACAGCTGGGTGGAAATACACGGACAGCAGTGGTCTCCAGGAGGTCAGTGCCGAGGAGCGACAGGCGCTCGCACGGTAGAGAGTGACGCACCAGAATGGCAACGCCACCACTGCGCCCAGTGCAGGCCTGAAGAAACTCATTGCATGCAGAAGCTTTTGTCGCCACGTCGCTACGGTCATTTATTTCCTGGAGAAGAAATATGTCAGTTTGATGCCGCTCCAATTGCGCAGCAAATGCAATCGTTTTTGCGGACGAGAGGCCTGCAATGTTAAGCTGCCAAACAGTGATGCAGCCACCCTCCTCGGTGCCACGGTTCGTGTGGACGTCATCGCAGCGTGTGATATCAACGGCGTGACCGCAGCGAAACGGCCGTGCAGTTTTGTCCGACAGTCCGCAGGCAGACCGTCTCACCTCCCCGCACCGGGAATGGCGTGGAACCCTCTCGAGGGGTGGAGTCGTCTTGGTCTCCGTCGTGCTCGCAGCAACGCCCTGCTGCGGAGTTCCTATATGCAGCCAGAGCCCCAGCACCGCGACAAGGTGCGGACCCCATCGCTGGGGCCAGGAGAAGCCGCAGTGCCTCCTGCTGTCATCAGGGATCCTCGTTGACGTCTTGATGCGGACAGGCGCCCATCGGTTCTTACAAACGAAGCCGTACACCTGCGGCGCATCCTGCGCTGTGAGAGGCACGACCCTCACCACTACCGGAGTCGTCCACGCGCCGTCGGTACGCACCGCATAGTCAATGAAAAAAGCAGGGATGCGTCAGGGTGACAGCAACGCATCCGCTAGCAATCGCATCGTAGGCATCACCACAAGCAGAAGTAACAGCAGCGCTGCAAGCCACGGGTTAACGTGGACCAACTGACGCATGGCGTATGTCAAGGGAAAAACTTAGTGGCCTCACAAGAGTGCAACAGGCTGGCAATTCAAAACAAAAAAAAACGATATGGGAAAAAAAAAAGAAGATTAAAGTGCCCACATTCAAAGCATGCTGCCAATCAAACAAAGTAGAATGGGTGCACTCAACCACAAAACAATGAAAAAACAATGAAAAGAAAAGCGTGGGACGACCAGCGCACACACTCTCATTGCTCCCGTAAAGCAAAACACACACACAGAGGGAGAGAGAGAGAGGTCGCCCACTCAATGCAATAAAAACAAAACAGAAACAGTTACGGTGCTCCGCCCACGCAGCCAGGCAGGACGGCAGCGGTGCGTGTCGTGCAAAAGAGAGCACCAACGGGCCTGCATGGGTGTGCATGCATATATACAATGGGCACATTATGTGTGTGCCTCGTGGGGTGAGGTGAGGGCGAGAGTCCATGCAAGGGGACACACACACAGAGAGAGAGAGAAGGAAGAGTGTGTGTGCGGGCGGTGCACGGCTCTCTCTCCCTCACTCTCACGCGGCCACCACCGCAGCAGCAGCCGCACACGCAACAACAACAAGAAAAAGAAGCAAAAGAGGGGAGGCGGTGTCGGAGACCGCGGTGCTGCCGTCACTGTCTCCAATAGTCGTATCATTTTTTTTGGCGACGGTGGTGGCTGTTGTTTCTGCTGTTTGTGGTGTATTTTCGCTGGCTGTAAGAGCATCGTTGGTATTACCAGTTTCGGGGCTGCTGTTGTGTTTTTTGGAGGTAGGCCGTTCATCGGTGCCATCATCCTTGCCCTCCTTTTCCTGGGCATCTCCACTTCTACTTGTAGGGATGGTTGTTGCTGTTGGTTTTCCTGGGTTGTCGGTAACTGCATCCTTCATCGAATCTGATGAGACGGAGTCTTTTCCTTTTTGTTTCCCCCCACCATCTGTTGAAGACTGCTTCATTTCTTTTGGCTGCGTTTCGGTTTTTGACGGTGATCCTTCTTGCTTTTGTTCTGTTGAGGTCTGGGAGCCTGTTGTTGCCGGTGGGATTTCTTTTCCTGCTTTAACTGTTGGTGCTGGTGATTTCTCTGTTGGTGGTAGTGCTGATATTGGATCTTTTGTTACTTTG